GGTCAATTGGTATAACAAAGTTTTTTAAGAAAATGTTCTGCATCCTACTTTGGTGAGTGGCATCTGGGGTCTTAAAAGCTAGCGAGTGGCCATCTAAGGTGGCATCAATTGGTCCCAACCCACGTGGAGCAAAGGAGAATGAATAACACAGAAGACACAAGGAAAGTATTAGCCCAAGAGACAGAAAGGGCCACATAAACCAGAGACGTCATCAGCCTGAGACCAGAAGAACTAGATGGTGCCCAGCTACCATAAGTGACCGCCCTGACAGGGAGCACAGCAGAGAGTCCGTGATGGAGCAGGAGAAAAGTGGGGTGCAGAACTCAAATTCTAGTAAAAAGACCAGACTTAATGGTTTGACTGAGACTGGAGGGACCCCAGAAGACATGGCCCCTGGACTCTCTGTTAGCCCAAAACTAAAACCATTCCCGGGGCCAACTCTTCAGATGAAGATTAGACTGGCTCATGAGACATAAAATGATACTCAAGTAGATAGATGAGACTAATGGGCAGCTCCTGTCCGGAGGTGAGATGAGAAGGCAGAGAGGGTCAGGAGCTGGTTGAATGGACATGGAAAATCAGATGTGGAAAGGAGGAGTGTGCTGTCACAGTATAGGGAGAGCAACTAGGATCACATAATAATGTTTGTATAAATTTTGTGACAGGCTAACTTGAACTGTAAACTTTCACTTAAACTACAACAATAAAAAAAAAAAAAGAAACCCTGAAGTAAACTGATATTAGAAGAACAATTTCATTATAGTAACTAACATTTGTCTAGCACTTCATAGCTATTAGAGTGCTTTCACATGTCCTTACTCCATTGTTGAACTAAATGCTAAGGGAGAATAAAGGTGAAGTAGTTTTAGGAGTAGTTTTAGTAGTTTAGGAGGTTAAGCTTCCAAGGTACATATTTGGGTTGTACAGCAAACATTTGCAGCACTGAGCGTGCTTGGCACTGTGCTTCTGTTAGGAGGTATGTATATTTTGGCTTTCAGACATCATGGTTGTATGAGCCTATGGCAGTTACAAAGCTGAAGGCGATGTTATAATTTAGGAGGTAGTTCGCCTAGCTTCTTTTCCTTCTAGGAGGGTCCCTGCTTCTTTGCATGTGATGATGTCATCTCTTTCACATAGGAGTGCTCTAAACATTTTGACTTATTTCCAAGATATGACAAAAACCTAGAGCTACAGATAAAAATTTCTCAAGCCCTCTTGGACCCTGCCTGTGCCTCTGAATCAACAGACTATGTTCCATAGAATGAATAATCTTGTCCTTCTTGACTTAGACTTTACACACAATAACACCCATCACTTAAGTACCACTGACTATGTGCTAAGGAGCACTGGTGGTACGCTGTTTAAAGCATTCCCCTGCTAACTGAAGGTCAGTGGTTTGAACCCACCAGCTGCTCCGTGGGAGAAAGATGTGGTAGTCTGCTGCTGTAAGTATTTACAGCCTTGGAAACCTTACGGGGCAGTTGTAGTCTGTCCTATAGAATAACTGTGAATTAGAATTCACTTGATGGCATTGGGTTTGGTTTTTGGTTTAACTAGGTGCCAAATAAAGTTCTAAGTGGTGTGTGTGTGCGCGTGCGTGCGTGCGTGTGTGTGTGAGTGAATTCACTTACTCTTCAAAGCAACGGACTTTGAAAGGCAGGTAGTCCGGTTTCTTCATTTTACCAATGAGGAAACTGAGGCTCAAAAAGATAAAGGTGACTTGTCTTTGGTTAGTTAAGTGGTTAGTGGCAGAACTAACACTAGAATGCAGTTTTCTTACCCGTAGTCCAGTAGGTTAAAAAGAGAAAAAGATTAGTTTTAAGGTATTTTTGCAGAGGGTCTCCTGTTGTATTTAAGGAATGCTGGGAACTTAGTGTGTGAACTGCATCATGTTGGTAGCATACGTCCTCTTCTAGGTGCCAGAAACCAAACCAAATGCATTTCCATCGAGTAGATTCCGACTTATAGCGACCCTATAGGACAGAGTAGAACTGCCCCATAGGATTTCCAAGGAGCAGCTGGTAGATCCGAACTTCATACCTTTTGGTTAGCAGCTGATCCCTCAGTCACTATGGCACACGGGCTTCACTACGTGCCAGGATGCCCCCAAATGCTGGCTCTGCATTTGGGAAAGCAAATACATTTTTTTCAAGAGTCAGGATACAAAACTAGAGGTGGTGACAGTAAATTGATACAGCAGGCATTTAGAAAATTATAGGATATATATATATATATGTATATAGACACATGCACGCACACGGACATGCACACACACGTATACATATATACATGGAGCCCTGTTGGTGCAATGGTTGAAGTGCTTGACTGCTGACTGAAAAATCGGTGGTTCAGATCCACCAGGTAGCTACTCCTCAGGAGAAAAGACCTGGCGATCTGCTCCTGTAAAGATTACAGTGTAGGAAAACCTATGGGGCAGTTCTAATCTCTCCTGTAGGGTCACTATGAGTTAGAATCGACTTGACAGCATACAACAAAAAACTATGTGTATATGAATATAGTTAAACTTTTTATAATTACAGTCTATGTGATGAATTTATAGTGAGTAAAACATAAATATCTCTATTTATTTTTTGAGGGGAGCAAGATTATAATTAATTCAGAATTTTAGTAAAACATCTGTAGAGTTATTTTATAAGGTCTGTTTTGAATTATGTTTACAGCTAGGCATTTTGCCTATTTTTCATATTTAAATGCATGGTGGTGGTGGTAGCTCCTGTCATGTCTGCTTCTGACTCATGGCGACCCCATGGACAGTACAGTGAGACACTGAACCATTGCCATGATCAGTTGCGGATTGAACTGTTATAACTCATAGGAGTGTCGTTGGTTGATTTTTGGAAGTAGATCACCAGGCCTTTCTTCCTAGTCTGTCTTAGTCTGGAAGCACTGCTGAAACCTGTTTAGCATCATAGCAACACTCAAGCCCCCGCTGATAGGTAGGTGATTGCTGTGCACGAGGTGCATTGGCTTGGAATTGAACACGTCTCCACGGAGGATGAGAATTCTACCACTGAACCACCAGTGTCCTCCTTAAATGCATGGTATAAATTTTAAATGTTCTGTTAAAGTATCTGCATATAAAGTTAAACTGTAAGAGTTATTAAGCTTAAATCATTTATAGATACGTTTTTCTGTTTCTTCAGGCTATTTTGGACATGACATATTTTGAAGAGAACAAGCTAGTAGATGAAGATTTTCCTGAAGATTCTTATTCTTCTTCACAGAAAGTAAAAGATCTGATAAGTTTTCTTTCAGAACCAGAAATTTTAGTTAAGGAAAATAATATGCACCCAAAAGTAAGTTTTGCAATCCTCTGAGTTATAGTGGACTGTTGCTAGTTCTTAACTATACTGCTCTTTCGAGTCTATATATTTTTCTTCTTGATTGTATCTGTCCCTGTTTTGAATTAGGATTGAAGGAGGGAGATACGAGAGTATTAACACTTCAGACCAATGCCACAATTAAGGCATATATTTTATCAAATGTGTTTCAGAATGTTTGTGTAATAGGGTTGTATTTAATTGTAGCATCTAATCATTTTCTAAACATAGATATTCCATTTTTCTGCTCTTTTTACTTTTGTAGGTACTGTCTTTTCTTGAAGGTCACTAGTAACCTAATTACCAGATTTATTGTTCTTTTTCTGTTAGTGTCTTCCTAGGGATTTGCTGCCTTTTTTTTTTTTTTCCCCATCATTAATCACCCCATCTCTGTGGGACCCTACATGCTTTTCTTTCTCTGTCTTCATCTTTAAGGCAAAGAGTAAGAAATCTTGCTATTACTCTCTTCCTAGCAACTCTTCTCTCTCCAGTTCTGAAAGCATAGGTACCCCTCAACATTGTCTCCTCAATCTTCTGACAGTCTCTATTTTGTTTGCTTGACCACCTATTCACATGCTTTTTACTATCATTTCTGTCTAGATGATTCCAAAATTTATATCTCTAGCCCTGGATACTCTTTCAAGCAAATAGTTCAACTGCCTTCTGACTCTCTCTACTTAAATATCTTACTTGTTTTATATATTTGTCAGAGGAGGCTAACCTTGGAAACGGTATCCAAATTTAAATGAATCAGCACAGTAAAAGTTTATTCTTGCTTGTCATCATAGTTCAGTGCTGGTTGGTGGTTGAGGAGTTGGCAGGGATCTGTTCCATGCAGTTATTCAGGGATTAAAGCTCTTTCCATTCTGAGATGCCACCCTTACCTAGGTCCTTGGTGTTCTTTTCAGCCAATGGATGATAAAGAGGGAGTGTGAAAAATTGAGAAGTTTTTATGTCTGTGTTGGGAGGTCCCCAAAACTACACTTAGGTTCAGTAATTCTCTAGGAGGACTCACAGGATTCAGCATATAGTCTTACTCGTGACTGTGATTTATTACAGCAAAAGGATACCAAGCACAAAATCAGCAAAGGGAGAGGATGTTTGGGGTGAGGTTTGGGGGAAACTAGGCTCAGCTTCCAAGAGCACTCTCCCAAGGGAGTCGCGCAAAACATACTTAATTCCTTCAGCATTGAGTTGTGACAACATGTGTGATATGTTGCCAACTAAGGAATCTTGTTAGAGACTTAGTGTCCAGGGATCGTAGCGGGTGCGGACTGGTCACGTAGGTACCCCTGCCTGGCATGTACCCAAATTCCAGGCTCCCAGAAGGAAAGCAGGAGTTCCGCATATACTATGTTGTTTTTACAAACAGGTTAGGCACAGTGAGCCACTTTTATCTGTTAATGGCGGAAGACTTGCTGAAATCTAAGTTCTCAGACACCAGCCAAGGGCCAGCCCTGCAGACAGGTCTCTCCAAGGATAGCAGTTAAGGCCTGCTATGTTAATTAACTTTTTCGATACAGGACCAGCTCTAGATATTGTGCCCATTACTTTTACCTACATTCCACTGGCTAAAACTAAGTAAAGTGGCCACATATGACTGCAAGGGAGGCTGGGAAATGCAATCAAGTTGTGTGCTCTGGGGGAAAAGGAAATAGTAGTTTGTGCTATATCAGTCTTTGCTCCACAAATTCTAAATGTTTAAATTTGAACTCTTCTTCCTTATACTTTGCTTTCCCATTGACCTAGCATATTTTGCTGATTTTATTTCTGTCAATAGCATTGTTCTTTTAGTTTTCCACACAAAAATCCCTGGGTAATAGCTTCCTTAGGCCTATAGCCTATCAGTTGCTAAGTCCTGTAGATTTTAACTTACATCTGTAAAATCTCAGCTACAGTCTGAGATAAACACTGGTCTTTCCCTGTCAGTCCTATACACTGTTGGTCGGTCAGTTTGTCTTAAAGGACAATGCCAGTATCAAAAATTTTTTCTACTTTCTATTATGTATTTAATTACGTATAGAATCCTTATCCTGGTGTTGCCTGATCTTCTTCTGTACGTATTAGTGTTTTTCTCCCCCCCCCCCTTTGCCATTGGAGCAATACTTGAGCTTGTTGATCACTATGCTCAAGCACCCAAGATACAATGCACCCAAGATACATACATTGAGGAGTCACTTTAAATCACATTGTGAAGCCAAGGTTGTCGTTTTATTTTCAAGAACTAGAACTTGAGCTTCTTGAGAGCAGAGGCTTTGTTTATGCGCTGCTATACTCCCCTCAGGATCGTACTTTGCCATATATGCAGCACTTAGTAGATGTTTATTTCAAATAAAATTATGAAGTTTTATTATATATTTATTATAATTTTATAATTTATATTTATTTGTTATAATTTCACTTATTTTGAATAAGTGAACGAATGTTTTAAAAGAATTTGATTTAATAATTCTTGTATACAATTTTTCGTTATTTTATCTCAGCAGTAGTAGAAATAGGTATGATCTCGCTTCAAGTAACATGTTTCTGGAGTTATCTTTTAACTTAGATTATGTACTACTTATATTTCACATTTATTAGGGAGTTTGCTACTAAAGTGTATTTTAAATTATTTTGTAAATTTTTTTTTTTTTTGTAAATTGAGGTAGTTTTTATTTTAATTTTCATATAGCAATAGATTTTGATATATCTAATTGATTCAAAGTAAGGCATTCCTGTGTAAGTAAAGGAAGGGCCAGTTTGGCGATATGAGGGTGTTTTTAATTCCTCCAGGTTTTGAGATTTAACTTTGGTTTTTACAAACATCAAGGTCCTTTTTTTAGCTGTATCTTTGGTGTGTTTCAGCAGTGCACTTTGCTTGGGGACGAGCTACTGGAATGTCTGTCTTGGAGACGAGGAGCTCTACTCTACATGTATTGTCATTCTCTTACCAAAAGGAGAGAGTGGCTCTCAAGAAAATCTAGTTTGCTTAAAAAGGTAAGAAGACATTCCCCATACATTTTTAATTGTTGATATTTATAGGTTCCAAAAGTTGTCTTTGGTGTAGTATTAAGAATAGTGGAATCAAAGTGTCTGAGTTTGAACTCCAGGTCTTCTACTTGGTAGCTGTGTAGTCTTAAATAAATTGGGATTGTTGTGATGATTAAATAAGATAACACGTTAAAACTCTTTGTGAATTGGGAAGCTCTGTATGCTTAAGTTGTGAATTTTTATTTTTTAAATATAAGATAATTAGCATTTTTTTTTTTTGCGCTGAAGAGAAACAAACTTGGTTGTGAGCCTCTCTCTGTCAGCAAATCACTCCTAAAGAACTCACATGATCCTGCTCCTAGAAAATTGTGACCTTCTGACCCGTCTTAATTTGCTGACCAATTACACATGATTTAGGGGGCGCTTGGAAACCGGAGGTCACTCTTTCAGATGTAAAAGTTTGATCTTAATGTTTCTAAGCTATAATAATTATATACATATTTTGAATCAGTTGTTGAGTATGTCATTATCATTTTATCCTTTCTTCCTCTGACGATGTCTTTTACAAGTATTGTATATTATTGAAACGTGTTCTTGGTTAAATTTTTTTACCATACTCTTACTAATAGGGTCATTTTGGGGTGTATACCAATATATAGGGTTGCTATCAGTCAGAACTGACTCCACGGCAGTGGGTATGGGTTGTTATGGTTTTGACTTACATTATGAAAGTCTTGGGGTGGTGGGTCCTTGTATCATTGAAATAAACATTCAAAAGCTATCTATATTTCAGCCCATTTTCTCTTGAATGAAAAATGGGGGAAAACGTAACATTTGAAGTTCCTACAATTCTGCATATAATATTTTCAATTCTTTGGCTTTGCCTTTCATTTAGTACCTTGTTGATGGAATCAGTTACTTGCTACAGATGCTAAATTATCGGTGTCCTGTGGAATTAAATGAAGGAGTTTCCTTTCAAGACATAGAGACAGCTAAATTACTGAGTGAAGGTAACGTGATCTTTTGAAGTTTTTCTAAGCATTTTGAAGCTTTTTAAGATGTTAGGAAGTTTGTTAGATTTTACTCTGATTTAATTACATTTCGTTAGATTATAGAGAAAAATAATAAGAAATCTTTTTAAAAATTCAAAGATTAAAATCTCATGTAATATGGGAAAATACTGCTGTTCTGTTTAGTAATTTTGGGAGAGTTATATATTATGTTACTTATCTTGCATCCTCACATAACTCTGATCAGTATTTATCAGAACTTAGATTTGGCTACTTGTAACAGACTGGAAGTAGCTTTTAAACAAGGTGGACATTTACTGTTTTTTCACATAGAAAAGGCCCAGAGCTGGTATGGTGGCTCTGGTGTTATCAGGGTCCTATCTTTTTCCTCCATCATCCTTAGAACTAGAGCCCCTCAGCTTCAGAGGGAGACGTTTCATATAGAATACAATATAAACGATACTTCCTGGATTGTGCAACACGGTCATCCCTGTTTAGGATATGGTTTCCATTTGCAGTACCCCAAGATGCTCCTGGAGCTCCTTCCATCTTACCCATTTTTCAGGCCATAGAAATGGCAAAAGGCCATGTCAGCTGAAAAGTTTCTTACAGCACTTCACCTACATTTCACTGGCCAAAATTTAACCAGATGGCTTCACCTTGCTTTATGTGGACCTGGGAAATACACTCTTACCTGATACAGTGCTGTCTTAAATAAAATCAGGGCTCTTTACTGAATAAGAAAGAAGGGGAGAGTGGATATTTGGTGGCAACCATTACTTTCTTCAACAAATATATATGCAATTCAGAATTTTAGGAACTGGATATAGAGCATTATTTGATTTTCACACTGAGATTGAGAGAGAGAAGAACCACTTACTTTTACCAGTCTTCTTATAAGTGGAGGAGGTAAACTAGATGACCTACTCAAGGTCACACAGCTGGCAAGTAACACTGGATCGTATGTGTAAGCTTTCTTGTCTTACACATCATCTGAAATTTTGATGGAGGAAAATCAAATAGATGAATAGAATTCTCTTAAGGAAAAGTCTACAATTTAAGCATCTTTAAATTTTTTGTTTTTTGTTAGATGCTCCAGTGTCATTAACACACGAATGACTAGTGGTGTCCAAAAATTAATTCAGATAAACAGTTTATTCTAAAAAAAACTTACTATGAATAAAAGAGCTCCCTCACTGGGCATGATGTTTTTATAAACGTGGGGTGTTTTGATGTATTTGTGGGATGTATTTATTCCAGATAACTAGTGAACTAATTTGGAGCTCCGGTGGTGCAGTGATTAAGTGCTCAGCTGCTAACCAAAAGGTCAATGGTTCTAACCCACCAGCCACTCTGCAGGAGAAAAATATGGCAGTCTGCTTCCGTAAAGATTTACAGCTTTGGAAACCCTATGTTAGGGTCACTATGAGTCACAGTCAACTTGATGGCAACGGGTTTGGTTTTGGTTTTAGTGAACTAATTAGAGATACTAAAAATGGCCTTTTGAAAATCTCATCCTACCCACATGGACTGATTAAATTGAACTCTTACTATGTGACATTGTTTAAAAGAAAAAGGGAATCAAAGAAAATGGCATAAGTCACTCATCCCCCTTGTTCTCCGTTTCTAATCATAAGGCAAGATAGTCTCATGGCTGGAACTTCTTTTTCAGGATGAATGTGGTATTGGTGTCTTCTCTTAAATCAGTTTAGTTACACTAGGGTCAGATAGAGTCACAAAGCATTTTCCAGGAAAAAAGAAAACAATATAAGCACCACGGTAGTTTTACCTACAGTGCTCATTCCTCTTACAGTGTTGGCTTCCTCTCTCTTCTAAAGTAGGTTGCTTGTCCCTAATTCTTATCTCTCAAGATGATTAGAGTAGAAGCCCGGAAGCTTCCTTTTCATAGGCTGGCTTATAAAACCCTGTTGGAGAGCCTGTAATTATTTTTGGTTAACCATTCAACATAATTCTGAATAATCCTTAATACATAGGAGAAAAGTTCTAAACAAGGCATCAGAATATTTTTGTGGCCAAATCTTGATGATATTTTACCTAAAATTTAAAAGTGTATGTTTAGTATAATTTTATTTATTTTTCCAATTTAAGATTATCATAGTGTTTTTTAGACATTGGCTATATGTCTTTAAATTTTCAGCGTTTAAAAATTACTAAATAACGTATTCAGTAAAGCTTTTCACATTATTCCTGAGCCTCACTCCTCTGTGAGTGGGAGCCAGAGAATTTAGTATTTTCATGTGCCTTTATAAAAGTAGCCTTGCCAAACAAATTGTGAAGTCAAGTGGGTTAAATCAGAATACTCTCCAGCTTTGCATACTTTTGGTTTATACCCTTTTTATATCACTAAGGACTCTTTTCCTGAAGTCCTTTGGCCTGCAGTCCTTTAGCTCATTGCTTAACCCAGAACTTGGATTTCTGATCTTCTAAAAGAGCAGCTTTGAACTGACATCACTAATTGCCTGGGTAGCTTGTTAAAAATACAGACTTCTGTGTATCGCCTGCAGGTTCTGATTCAATATATGTGGCCTAGCCTAGTCATCCAGTGCTGCTGTAACAGAAATACCATAAGTGACTCTGGATATTCCTTCCATCTTATTTTGATGCTTCCTGTGTCGTTCAGTATTTTGCCTGTCGCATCCTTCACTATTGAAACTCGAGGCTTGAAGTTTTTCTTCAGTTTTCAGGTTGAGAAATGCTGATCGTGTTCTCCCTTTTGGTTTTCTAACTCCAGGTTTTTGCATGTCATTAAATATTTTGTCTTCTCGAGCCAGCCTTTGAAATCTTCTGTTCAGCTCTTTTACTTCATGATTTCTTCCTTTTGCTTTAGCTACTCGATGTTCAAGAGCAATTTTCGGAGTGTCTTCTGACATCCATTTTCATCTTTTCTTCTTTCCTTTTTAATAATCGCTTGCTTTCTTAGTATATGATGTCCTTGATGTCATTCTGCATCTCTTCTGGTTTTCAGTCATTAGTGTTCAGTGTGTCAAATCTTTTCTTGAGGTGGTCTTTCGATTTAAGTGGGATATATTCAGACTTGTACTTTGGCTCTCGTGGACTTGTTTTGATTTTCTTCAGCTTCAACTTGAACTTGTATATAAGCAATTGATAGTCTGTCCTGCAGTCGGCCCCTGACCTTGTTCTGACTCATAATATTGAGCTTTTCCATTGTCTCTTTCTACAGATGTAGTTGATTTGATTCCTGTGTATTCCATCTGGCATGGTCCACGTGTATAGTCGCCGTTTATGTTGTTGAAAAAAGATTTGCAATGAAGAGGTCATTGGTCTTGCAAAATTCTATCATGCGATCTCCGGCATCGTTTCTATCACCAAGGCCATGTTTTCCGACTACAGATCCTTCTTTGTTTCCAACTTTCACATTCCAGTCACCAGTAATTATCAATGCATCCTGATTGCATATTCAGTTAATTTCAGACTGCAGAAGTTGGTAAAAATCTTTAGTTTCTTCATCTTTGTCCTTAATGGTTGGTGCGTAAATTTGAATAATAGTCGTATTAACTGGTCTTCCTTGTAGGCGTATGGATGTTATTCTGTCACTAACAGCATTGTACTTCAGGATAGATCTTGAAATGTTCTTTTTGACAGTGAATGCAACCCTGTTCCTCTTCAATTTGTCGTTCCCGGCATAACAGACCATATGATTGTCTGATTCGAAGTAGCCAGTACCGGTCCATTTCAGCTTACTAAAGCCTAGGATATTGATGTTTATGCATTCTGTTTTATTTTTGACGATTTCCAGTTTTCCTAGATTAATACTTAGTATGTTCACATTCCAGTTATTAATGGACGTTTGCAGCTGTTTCTTTTCATTTTGAGTCGTGCCACATCAGTAAGTGATGGTCCCGGAAGCTTGACTCCATCTGTGTTATTAAGGTCAGCTCTACTTTGAGGAGGCAGCTTTTCCCCAGTCGTCTCTTGAGTGCCTTTTAACCTGAGGGACTCATCTTCCAGCAGTATATCAGACAGTGTTCTGCTGCTATTCATAACATTTTCACTGGCTAACTTTTTTCAGAAGTAGACCGCCAGGTCCTTCTTCCTAGTGTGTCTTAATCTGGAAGCTCAACTGAAACTTGTCCACCATAGGTGACACTGCTGGTATTTGAATACTGTGGGTTAGCTTCCAGCATCACAGCAACATGCAAGCCCCCTTAGTACAACAGACTGACAGATGTGTGGGGGAGAATCATAGCTATTACAGTGTTATTACTATGAATGACATTATGATCTCAGATCTATCATCTTGTCTGTACATAATGAGATACTAATTGAGGAGAGTCAGGAAATGAACATAGGAGTTTGCTTGTCCTAGTAGCACCTGCAAAGTCTCCCTTATAAGCTTTGGAAAGCACAGAGACTGCAGCATATGTATGATCATTAATGTGTGGTACCTTTTTTGTTAAACCTGTGTGCTACCCAGCTTAAGGTCAAATGAGCGCTTAAGGCTAAAGGCAGGTTTCTTTTCCCCAAATTTAGAAGTTGCTGATAGAGTTCATGTGACTTCTTAGTCACAGCTCAGTTTCATTTTGGGGGCTTCCTCACATCAGCTTTTAGTACTCTCCTAATTCTACCCTATCACTGTGTGAGCTTATATGCATTCATACATAGTATTAGATAGAATTACAGGAATAGCATTCTGTAATTATCTTTAGTTGTCTTTAATAGAGCTTTTTTTTTCTTTTTAAATATTGAAATACGGTGCCACTTTGTGGCAATTGAATTAAACTGTGAGAAAGTAACTAGAAATAACCCCAGGCTGATAGTATGGAAAAAATAGACCTTCAAGATTAAAGCTTAGCAAATGACTAACATTTGAGAGTAGAAAGGTGGTAATTAGGGGCATTCTTAGTGTTAGGGTAGTCAAAACTATAATATAAATCTTAGAGTTGCTGTAGCTAAGGTGAATCTGCATATTCTTCGGCTCTATTTGAAGGGCTATTTTAATTTCTTTAGCATCGTGGAGT